TTTCCCTACCTGCTCTTTCCCATGCATAATCTTATAAACCTCAATCATGTCACCCCTCAGCCGTCGTTTCTCCAGGCTAAAGAGCCCCAAGCGCTTTAACCTTTCCTCATAGGGAAAGTGTTCCAACCCTTTGATCACCCTAGTTGCCCTTTTCTGCACTTTTCCCAGTGCTACAATATCTCTGCCATTATTCCCATTTGTAAATTCAACTCGCGACTTCGAGGAAGCTTTTCTAAAAGGTAGTGGAAAGGGGGAAGTCCTGCTCGAAACACCACGAGAGTGCCCATTTTCTGACAGGTCAGGATTTCAGCCACCAGAAAGGGGGGAGAAGCTCTCCTTTCATCTCCAGCCACCCCCCCGACCCCTGAGAGCCCGCTACTTTGTTCAGCTAATTCTTCGAGAGCAATTACGCCTTCTTCTCTAAAAGGCAAAGAAAGGACCTCGCCAGGAGACGGGATTTGTTTTGAAATCTCTGCGAGTCGCTTTGATCCCCTGCCGACGGCAAGGAAAGCAGGATATACCCGAAATTAACAGAAGAAATACATCTCATCTCGAACGGAGGGTGCCGAGTGGAAAATTGCGACGTAGAAAGCACAGGTATCCCCAGGATGGTTTCGCTCACCTTTCTCTTTGTCTAAAGGTGGGAGGATACTATTGTCTCGGCAGACCTTGAAATAGATTTCTTGCTCTATCCCCTCCGGAATGGCACCTTGCGGGATAATTATGCTCACTCCAGTCTCTATGGAGCTGAGAACGCCACCGTTGCTGTTAAACACGCCTCTTGCCGTGGCGACGACGGTGTGTCCGTCCTCTTCGTCGTCGTCTTCCAACGCAGAAGGACTAGAATCGTTAAGAGAGAATGATGCAAATGAACACAGGGAGTGGCCTTGTACTGAATCAGACCCCCTTGGCCCACCAAGGCCAGTATTATCTCCACCGATTGGTGGTTGCTCTCCAGGGTCTCAGGCAGAGGTCTTTCCCATCACCTGCTGCCTGGTCCTTTGAACTGGAGATGCCGGGGATTGAACCTGGGACCTTCTGCATGCCAAGCAGAGGCTCTGCCACTGAGCCACAGCCCCTCTTTACAGCTCTCCAGGGTCTCAGGCAGAGGTCTTTCACATCACCTGCTGCCTGGTCCTTTTAAGCTGGAGATGCTGGGGAATGAACCTGGGTCCTTCGGCATGACAAGCAGAGGCTCTGCCACTGAGCCACGACCCCACCCCGATAATACATGAACACACAAAGCTGCCTTATACTGAATCAGACCCCTTGGTCCAGCAAAGTGGTTTGCCATTAAATAACATTTAAAATTCCTGGGCTCTTAACCGAAACAAAAGGAAACAAGAAATATGCACCTAAGTTTTAGTAAAAGAGACATATTAGAATTATAAGGTGGATACATTTTTTTACTTTTTCTCTCTGTAGTATGAAGTCAAGGATTGTGATAAGAATGACACAAAGGGAATCCCCCTTTATATGTATTTATGTATTTGTCTGTCTTATATATATGAAATAAAACTGTATGCAAAAAAGGTGGTTTCTTGTTGCCTGCCTCTGCATAGTGGCCCTGGTATTCCTTGGTGGGTCTCCCATCCAAATATGAACCCGGACTGACCCTGCTTCGCTTCCGAGATCTGATGAGATCGGGTTAGCCTGGGCGATCCAGGTTAGGGCACACAAAATCCTGACATCTCACCCCCCCCAAGCTCTCTGACATTAGCTGTCCCCCACAACTGTGGCCGTAAAATTAAGCCACCGAGATTGAAACTCTTAAAGGCAAAAGAGGGAGACTGTGCGTCTTATTTTGGTACAATGCCGACGACATACTTTCCTCTGATTTTTTTTTTTTTACAGTGCTCACGTAAGTTCCGCAGGGCCTGTAAGACGGAGCTCTTCCACCAGGCTTTTGAGTAGGAGCCACTGCCGCCACTATTCCACCATTATGGCATTGTCCTACTGTTGTTTCCATCATATAGGGCAACTATCGCCTGGCAGAATGCGCGTAGAACAGCGCTACTGGAGACCGCTCTAGAGACAGCTGGCCGCCGCACTGGCTTCAATGACCCCGTCTTGGGTGATTTATATATAGGAAGACTAGAGCACTTTAAATATTGTATAGTTTTATTGTGTGTTTTAATGTGGCTTTGTTTTATTGTATTTTATCTATTTAATGCGGCCTTTGCCGTATGTTAGCCGCCCTGAGCCGTTGGGAGGGCGGTATATAAATCTAAAAATAAATTAATAAAGTGTGTATGGAAACAGGCCGGCATTGTTTTTCATTGACGTGAAGCAAGCTATTAAAACAAAACAAAGGCAAAATCCTAAAACGGTGGCATTCCACAGTTCAGCGTCCCTTTTGTTTGTCAGAACACATGACAGAACACAACGAGATTTCTGAGGAAATGTGCACAGGTGAGGCCATGGAAAAAGCTGTTTTGGAAAATGGCTCCCCCGGAGAACAGCTTTCAGGTCCCTTTGGATCTTTGCCTGCAACTAGCAGCAGCTGGAACGGTGGCACGAGGGAATGTTAACAAATGCAGAGAGCGGGCTTTATCTTCCTCCCATGGTAAATAAACTCGATTCTTCGAGCAGCACTGAAGTTCTTACTTCAGTTTAATTTGTATCGGTAACACTCTGGAACAATGCTCCCTGCAAGCGGTGGAGTCCTGTGAGCAAAAATTCTACTTTGTGAGCTACAGGCATCAGAGTTGTGGGTGAGTGATTTGGCTACTGCATAAATTAATTTGTTCTGGAGCCATTCCTCCTGAGCTAAGACAAAAATGCGTGAGCCGGAGGCTAAAAAACTGTGAGCCAACTCACACTAACTCAGCTTAGAGGGAACACTGCTTTGGAGTCAATGTCTTCCTACTGACAGTTGCATACCAACGGGGTGATAAGAACCCATAAAATCAGAGGCCTGCTGCTTAAAGGGGACCAAATTAACATATGGGATCATCTCGTATCAAGTATCTGATGCCTTGAATTAGCGACAGAGGCCGACACTGATTTTGCTGCTCCAATATGCTACGTAAAGCAACTTCCTTCGAATTGGAACAAGGGCCTCAGGAAATCAACTTGGGTCTCAGCAGATTTGCATCTGTTTCCGTCCTTTCCAGCTACTCGGGGACAGGAGGTTAAGGAGCGACGGGGTCCAAACATGTTTGTCAGAATGTTGACACTAGCAGGAGATGGCGACTAGTCTGTGGGAAACTGGAGACATTTTTCCCAGCAGAAAACCTGGCGCTGAAAACTACCCTTGTCACGTCCTAGCTGACTTACGGCAACCAAAATTTTACTCTGTGAGCTACGGGCATTAAAAGTTGTGAGGTCTGGCTTCCGGTTTGGCTCCCGCGAATGGCGGACGCATCCTCGGGTCGCTCCCGAGGGCGTCTCGCCCGCCCGCGGTGGAGGAGGGAATCCGCGCGAGCGGAGACCCGAACGAGCCCCTCAGGAAGAGAGGAGCTCGGATCCGGGGCGCTTTAGGGCGTACTAGGGGGGAGTCTCTCTTTCGGCCGAGAGGTCGGAGATCGAGGCTCCCGCCATGCCCTGCCCCAATGGACCTTGCTGCGTGAGCGACCCCGTTTCACGGGGTTTAGCGGAGCCACCAGACGTCACCGAATGATAAAGCGATCATCCAAAAAAATGGAAAAAGAAAAGATCAGCTTAACTGTGAGTTGTCAAAATGCAGAGAAAAAGAACTAAAAGCGCTCCCCCCCCCCAGCGAAAAAGACGAGGAGGTTGATCCTCTAACTTCATAAGC